CCAATCATTAGTGCCGCTTGTTCGGTCTTTGACAGAACATATAGGACAATTTTTTAAATAGCGCCATAAACAACATTTATTTCAAATTTAATTCAAGCACTTTCAAGGACCTATGTTTGTTTTCAAGTACTTTCCAGGCCTTGAATCCATATGTCTGAAATTCAAGTACTTTCAAGTACTTTCAAGAAGCGTGGGAACCCTGACACAGTGAATTAGTCTTTGGGATCAGCCTACCAATTGACATGTTTAATCAGCTCCTTTATTTATTCCTTTAAAATTAGTGGATACGTGAATAATTTAGGAACCAGAATCATTGGAATGCTAAACGGAACAAGAAATATGCATTCAAATTTCTAATTTTGAAATTTTTAAAAGAATGTTTCAAATTGTTTGAGTATCCTGTTTTTTAAATATATTAGGTGCACATGCACAGTTTTGAATTACCCTGTGCCATGCTGTGTTGATTAACTGCTGTTGCACTGAAATTTCTTTCATGGAATTGATACAAGTATCTATCCATCTAAACTGCAGATCCCAATAAAAACAGTTTTAAGTTAATTTTAAAGGAATAAATAAAGGAGCTGATTAAACATGTCAGTTGGTAGGCTGATCCCAAAGACTAATTCACTGTGTCAGGGTTCCCACGCTTCTTGAAGCCATACCACCCACCAGCTGTATCTGATCTGCATCTCTTCTTGCACAAGTCATTCTGATGCTGAAGACACTCCGTAAACAATTAAATCAGACCCTTCTTCCAGAGCCAACACTATTATAAATTCTGAAAACACAGTGATATCAAACATCAGACAAGTTCTTGAATTTATTCATTCTTGCTATAAGCAGAAGAAGCTGTGAATCTGCTAGGATAACAACTAAAAAGCCCTGAAGAAGCATTTTAGAAGCACTTTCTCCTATTTGCAACCTCATTGGATGCAACAAAAAAAAATCAAGGTTTTTTTTTCCACAGCTGATCATATGGTTTTCCTTTTTGGTTACAGTCTACATTCAAATATGAGCACGTTGTGACAGAACAAAAAGAACATTATAGGAATCTTGAAACTATTACTAAGAAGTGGGTGGTGAAGTGTTACAAGACCTCAATGTCTAAATATTCTTTTTCTTTCTCAAGTAACATTGCGTCATACTCCGGACACTTGGAAAGGAAATCTGAGGCTTCTTCATGGAAGACTTAAGTTATTTACTGTGAACAAAAGCAGGATCAAATCTGATAATGGCCAGTTACCCAACAAGCTCTTGAGTTTAGCATCTGTGCATCTATATAACAAACACATAACGATAAAGAAAAAAAAAAAGATTACAAATATGACTTGCAGAGCACACACCTATAAACAATATTACAGTGTACAGACTAAACTAAGACTCTGAATCAAAATCATCCAACAAAATAAACCTCTCAACGCAACACATATGTGCCAAAATTACAAAAGCATGTACAAGAAAACAGATCACTGCTCTGTTCATTTTCATTTCCTCATTTCTGACAGACTTAAAGACGGTTGGGTTGAAACGGTTATATGAAAGGTAAAATGCTATATTTAAGCAATCAAGAGAGCGAGTTTCAAGTAGGGATGGGTATCGTTAAGGTTTTAACGGTATTACTACTCTTACCGATACTGCTTATCGATTCGGTACTTTAACGGTATTCTTATCTATACTTTTTGTTATTTATATATATATATATATA